CTGACCAAATCGATGTACATATGATCCAACCAATCATATGAGCATATGATCACGTTTCTTACAAATTACATGAAAACCTACTTACATGAAGCTATTTATCTTACGATGTAACAATGTAAGTTAGATGGGTACGTGTCATTTCACCGACAACTCATTTTACCGACAATCAATTCGCCGACAAGTTTATTTCACCCAGCAACCATTTTACCGACAGTCCATTTCACCGAACAACCCTAGCATAACCCAGTTACGATTAATATCGAATGCATAACAAAGTAAAAAACAATTCGATAAAAATTCCGAATTTTATCAAGCAAAAAAAAATGAATTCCAAGTTAATAATTTTCTATCCTATTAAATATATGGAAAGTGTGGATCTCTTGCAGTATGAGTGACACCTATTCTAAATCAATCAATTAAGAATACATGTTAGAGTGTTATTGTTTACAGAAATACTTTGAAAAAAAATTTTCTTTATTTAGGCAATAAAATGTATTTTCATTCCATGTTTTTGGAAGATTTTTCACACACTTCTATCATTTATCATTTTTTGAATCAATATTCTTAAACATACTTCTTGATGGTTTTTTTTTATAATTTCTACAATTTCTAATTCATTTTCAAACTTTTTAGTATCTGCCTCGTCCTCTTCAGCTAAATTATTATGATCAGAAATAGTTGAATTTTATTCAAATGATCAATTGGTATTAATATATGAATTATCTCTCACTCCGTTTGTTCAGATTCTATAATAATAGAATATTTCGAATTTCGTTGAACCTAAATTATTAGAAATTAATTAATGGATATCCATTTTCCCAAGAGGATTAATAAAAAAAAAACTGCTTATTAAAAATATTGATAATTTTCAGTGTTTTTGATAGTACGTGTAGTAAAATTTTTCCCATTCTTTTGTAAAATTATCACACATAGAATCTATGCCTCTTTTAAGTGTTTAATACAGGTTTTTTTTTTAATATTTTTCAGTAACTTGTTTATTCCATTCTCAATTATTATAACACTTCTATTGGATTAAAAACGTTTAACAACTTTATAAATAAGTTATCAGGGCAATTGATTTATACAGTCAACACTTTCTATAACGAACTGACAGTTCTGGAAACAAAAAAAAGTTCGCTATAGAAAATTACCATGATTTCATAAAGACCATTGCGCTTTCTATACTGAACTATTATAAAAATTTTTAAATTTTGAGTTCGTTATATCCAGAGTCGACTGTATACGAATATCCTCATATGATCGTTGAGGGGTGAATTTAATGTATAATAATATTTTGAACGAATACAAGGAAAAATGGGTACTTTTTTATAACTTAAAATGAACTAAGGGGGTGTAAGAAGCTTTGCTTATTTAACTTAATTGAAATTTAAAAGAATCGATTATATTATGGTGCTTTATTATTGTATTAATAATGATTTCATTCTTTTAAAGTATTGAGATCTCTTTAACTGAGTGTTTCTTAGCCATAATACCACACGAACTTTAGTCATGAATACTTTAACTTGGCCACGATGGTTTGTCCAGCCAATTTAAGCATCATGTGTCATAACCGAAGGTAGTTAAAAAGGTTGAGTTTAAAGTATGAACATATAGGGTGAGTTTTTTTCTCCAAGTATTTGTCGAGTTATCGTTTTCCAAGACTTCGTTCGTAGCAATTTTATTTAAGAGAAAAATAACAATATTGACTATACAGCTATGATAGTTTCTGATCTTAAGATTGACATGTAAATGACTTTCGTCAATAGAAATCAAAAAAAAAAAAAAATCAACACCTTGACTTTTTATGTCTCGTATCTCGGATTTAATCTAGTGACTTAATATTCAAAAGAAAACCTAGAATCTAGGCTCCTTTTTTGATTATTGAATCATTAAAAAATTCATCGAGATATGAGCTATGAAATTTGAGGTATCTATTGACGATAGCCAGACCTACCGAATAATTAATTGTAGGGGCAATTAACTGCAATTTTTTGAACTCAATTGATTGGTGGTGCAGTCAATTTTTGGTGTGATGAATTATTTGCGTGACAAATAAGATTCACTAATACGATTAATTAGTGAAGCCTTATTTGTCACATAAAATGATTCATCGTAATCATGCAATTATCTGGTGTGTACAAGATTGGCGGTGAAGACTAAATACTTAAAATTCGGTAAGGTTAGGGTTAGGATCAAAGTTAAGATCTAGAGAGTGATAATTTATATAATAAATTTGTTCAACGAAAACTTTTTGTTAAAGTACAAAAGGTGGTTTCTTATGCTGATTTTTGAGTTATGAACAGAACGAACGTTTGTTTTGATCGTGTTACGTTACACTTAATCTTGAAATCTGATTCGTAGTTCAGGAGCAACCTTGTACACAATTATTTGAGTTTAAATTAATTTTAATTGTTTTGACGTATAACAAATTTTAATTAATTTTTCGGTAGGCCAAATAACCAATCATTTCAACCGATAGAAAAGATTAGTAAATGCAGGGTAAATTCGGTGATCCGTGTAACAGTAATTTGAGAAATTCATCAAACATCCAATACCGATGACGAGATATTGTGTTACATAACCAGAAACCTTTTTTTAGGCTGAGGAACAATTAATTTATCCTTTTTTTTTTGTTTTATAAAAATACACAATCTTTTAAATTTGCGATTATAAAAAAAGCGTTGAATAAGTATGTTGAAGTTTTTTTCAAGACGCAAGAATAAAAGCAACAAACCTAGTTATAATATTGATAATAAACCTATTGAAAATATTGATAATATTGTAAGTAATTATACTAAAATTCTAAAGATATTTTGATTTATACGTGGTATTGAATTTTTTTGCATTAATATTTAATAATTAATACATAGTCAACACAGATGGGTAATAATATAAGTCAAGAATGTAATATATGTGTAGAAAAAAAATCATCAAAATTATTTCTGGTTATAACATCAAAATGCAAACATGACACTAACGTATGCAGGGAGTGTGTTGAAAAACACATAGATACAAGTTTATCTGGAAAAGGTGATGTAATTATTCATTGTCCTTCTGGAGAATGTAAACAAGTTATTGAACATAATGATGTTAAGAAAATAGTTAGTCATGAATTATTTGAGAGGTAATATCACTATCGTATTGATAATTTTTTAAATCTAATGATCTAATGCTCAAACGCCTTTATTATTATTATTACTATTATTCTTATCCTTATTATTATTATTATTATTATTACGCAAAGGTTTGATACATTGTCACTTCGTCAAGCATTAAGAACAATGCCAGATTTCAAATGGTGTAAAAATTCCAAATGTGGATCTGGTCAAATTCATTATCAAAGAGGTAATTTAATAAACATTTATTTTTTTTTTCATTATCATAAATATTTATCATTTTTATCAACATCTTTTATGTATTATGTAGATGATGCGCCGATAATGACATGTGAATCATGTGGAGAGAAATCATGCTATACACATGATGTTCCATGGCATGAAAATATGTCATGTGCTCAATATGAAGAAAAAAGAAAAGAATCAGAAGCTGCTACTAATCATTATCTTATGAGACATACAAAACCTTGTCCTAAATGTGGAACTCATATTGAGAAAAATGGCGGATGTAATCATATGACATGTAAAATCAGATCATGTTCTTATGAATTTTGTTGGTTGTAAGTAATTAATTTAAATATGTTATTTTTTTTATTTTTATTGATATTTATAATAAAATGCTAACCTTTTTTTTTTTTTTTTTTGTATTGTAGATGTTTGGCAGATTATAATGAGATACGTAAACATGGAAATAGAAAACATAAACAAACATGTTCATTATATGCATAACTTTTTTTTGTCAAATTTTAGATTCATTAGGTTAATCCGGAACTGTTATAAACATTTATAAATTGTAGAAATTGTTTAGAAGCATGGAATATTGTGGAAATGGGAAATTGATTTTTGATACTTTAGAAATTTTTAAAAAATATTTCAAAAACATTTTAAAAACATTTAAAAAACGTTTTAAAAGCATTTTAAAAAAATGTTTTAAAAAACGGATTAAAAACATTTTAAAAACATTTTAAAATATGGTTAAAACCATTTTAAAAACATTTTTTAAAAAAACATTTTAAAATATGGTTTAAAACCATTTTAAAAACTTTTTTTAAAAACATTTTAAAATATGGTTTAAAACCATTTTAAAAACATTTTTTAAAAACATTTTAAAAACATTAGGATAAATGATAAATGAGAAACGTTAGTAAATTATTATTATTATTATGAATATTTATTAATATAACAATGCTATGTAAAATTAATACAATATATGTTAGATATATATATATATAAAGTGCAAATATGCAATATAAATTACTCCAATTTTCGTTTTTCAAGAAAAACTTCCAACTTTGTAATATCATTAACGAGATTGAATTTTAAATGTAATGGTTCTTTTGAATTAACTAATTTAAAAGTATATTTTCTGTAAATAGTAGCTAAAATAACTTTTGTTTCAGTCATTGCAAAATGTTTTCCAGGACATGATTTCATTCCTTGACCAAAAGGAGAAAAAGCAAATGTTGGTAAAGTTTCTCTCCAATTTCCCAAAAATCTTTCAGGATTAAATATTTCAGGATCTTTAAAATATTTTTCATTTCGTTGAATATGAGCTAAATTTATACCAAAAATAGTATTTGGTGGAAAATTATAACCATCAATTTGAGTAGGAACGTCAGGTGTATAACGAAAAGTTATAGGAGCAATAGGATATAATCTCATAGCTTCATATATAACACCTTCAGTATAAACTAATTTTGAAAGATCATAAGAACCAATATTTTTTGTTGGACCAACGACACTCAATATTTCTTTGACCATACGTTTTTCAACTTCAGGATGTTTTGCTAAAAGATAAGCTACGATACAAAGAGTTGTAGTTGTAGTACCAGTTCCAGCACCAAACATTTCACGAATGTTTTGTTTAATATCTTCAGGAGAAGGATTTGAATCATTATTCATAGTAAGTAACATAGTAAGAAAATCCGATCTTACTTTAGTTCCACTCCATTTATTTGTATCATTAATTGTAGAGTTATTAATTGTAGAGTTGATATATTTTTGTTCTTCAATCATAGCTTTACGTTCTTTTATAAATTTGATTTCAAATTCCGTAAGATTAATTAAAATTTGACGAAAATATTTGCATTTTTTGTTGAACCAAGGTAAATTCCAAACAAATTTTGGAATAAAGACGAAAAAAGCGACAGCATCCGAATAATCCGAACGTAATCTTCGATATTGTTCACCATTACTTAAATTATTTAAATCATCAATATCATTTTCCAATTCAAAAGATATTTTAGCGTTATTACCAACAGTTTTTTTATATTGAATTTTTAAAGAATCTTCTTTTGAACCAGCAGCAACCAAACCCATCATATCACTGGTAAAAGCACGATACCATTCATCCAATCTAACGACCTGCGTATTTTTAACGTCATCCCAATAAGTCATCATTTCTTCACAACATTCACGAGTATATAAAGTGCTTAATTCAATAAAACTTGGAGGAGATAAAGATTGTTGAAAGAATTTTCGATTATGCCTCCATTTTGGAATATCTAAATTTAATAATAAACCTTCTTTATCCATTCCTAATTCTTTAAAACCAGGTAATAAAGGAATTCTACGTAAAAAAGGAGAATGTACACTTGGAGAGAATAAATCTTTTAAAAAATTAGGATCAGCGACTAAGACGGTTCGAAAACCAAACATTTCTAATTCACAAATACCACCATATTTATTTGTTAATTTATAAAAATTAACAGCAATATTACCAAAAAGAATGTAAAGATGGCCTATGAAAGGAAGAGGAATAGGACCAGGAGCACGATTTTTACGAGATTTAAAGAAATTTAAATAAGGATATATCGCGAAATAAATGAGAAGTAAGGATAATAAAAGAGGGAAATCGAGGTATTTTGAAAAGAATTTATAAATCGCGTCAGAAAAAGTCAACATATTCATGCAAATTATATACATTATATGTTATATACGTGATTTGATATATGAATGAATGAATGAATGAAAAAAAAGGATGACTTCAGAATGACCTTTAGGATGACTTTAGAATGATCTCGTCGAAGAGAAATTTATATTTGCAAAAAAAAATTGATTTTTTTTTTCTGAAAGTACGGTTTTTTTTTGCTCTTTTTATTAAATAAATCAATTTCTATAAAATCAATATAAAATAATAAAATTAAACAATCTAACTATTAACCTCCAAATTGAGATATGCATTGTACATTCTTAATATTGTGCATTAAGTCTACATTATATAATTGTAGATCTAAATATAAATAAGTCTAACGCAGTACCTACATCACGTGATTAAATGCAAGGAGAAGCAGAGAAGATTTCTTTTTTTCGCATAGTTTAATGTATAGCGATAGGTTGACAAAAACTTTGTAATCATAAAATCCAATGATCGATCGAGTACATTGTTGACCTAAGCTAATTTTTGATAAAAAAGTTAAATCGCTGCATTGGAAATAATGTACGTACTTCACACGCAAAACTAAAACACTAATTATATGATAAGAAAATAGGACGTAATCACCATATCTAGGTCACAGGAACACTCTTTAGCAAAAAAATCAAAAACCTCTTTGTTTAGAATAACAAATCAATACTATCTTTGATATAAAGATTTTATAATAAATAAATTTTAACGATAAATCATTGCATTTAAATGTATCTAGACTTTAAATTAACAACGAAACATTGCAAATAAAGAAAACAGTCAACTTACGTATTTAAGCATTTACGTACTTGGTTATATATAAATATTAGATATCTGATATCTGATTTGTACTAACATACGTACGGTACGTAACCTAGTTCTTCCATCAATAACACACATACATATCAGATAGATATATACACATATATACTGTATATATATGATATATATGATATATATACATTATTGATACGTATACTTCACCATTACAGCATTAGGTTAAGCAGAATCTACATAGTTACTTGTCAATGTGCCACAGAATGTTAAATACGTATTAAGAATCTTGCCAAGGCAATACATTAGTAGTTAAATAAGGCAATTATCATACGTACGTCGTAGTACTCACTGACTAAATAAGCAAATAATAGTATAGCTATATATTGATATAAAATATATATGAATTTTGAGATTTTTAATTATGTATACGTAGTCATTTGTTTTTGTGTAAAACAAAGATTACACGAAACTTTAATTTTTCAATACCAGTATAGAGATGAAACTAGAGATGAGAATATAATTATATATCATAATAACTATCACCGGAATTATATAGCTGCCGACAATTAACTATATTCAATCATGATATCATGATAGAGATTCATGTCTAGCAAAAATGACAAAACTCACATCTTTGGCAACTTTATACTGTATGTTATCGAGGAAAATTAATTATTTTCCAAAAAAATTGTACTAATTTGGTTTACTAGTTGCTGTGTACGTAGTATATATAATTACAGATAGTGAATCTGAGATCATCTAAACCAAGTATTTTATAATTCCCAATAGTGATAAGTATATGGAAAGCTTTTTTATACTTTATGTATTGTGTAACATTACTTAGCACGAAAAGATTATATAACAAGTTTATCAGAAAGAAGACAGACATACTTTCGAGGCTATTTTAACGACTAGATCTATCAAATGATTGTCTTAGAATTAACTATATATAATTATATATGAAATTCCATATTGTTTTATCTTCTCCGAAGTCATGGAGAAAGGTTCATATAATGGAAAGATGTCATGAAACTGTACATATTGGTATGTAGTTAAACCTAAAACTATTTGTACAATTTGTACAATTTGTACTAGCTGGTTAGTATAGAAATGCAGTTAACTCTTTCTAAATTTGTAAAAATTATACGTATGTAGGCTTGACCGAAACAATAGATGCCTTCATGTCAGGCAGATTAAACATTATATTTTAAAATACACAAAGAAAAACATTTCATATACGTAGAGAAATTCAGATCATTCTGTCTTATATATCCAGAATCTAGGTAAATGTATTAGCTATACGTATCAAAGATTTACATTTAAGGCATCAAAAACTGTCAGAATTTTAACGTTATGCAAATTCACATGCTCATCTTAAAGGTATGGAATATAACAATGTGCGAAATAATCGAAATAATCGAAATAATGGAATAATTATCGAACCTTACTATTGGCATCACATTTACGAGTAATTTTATGATACATATATATGCTAGAGGTAAATATTAAAGTATACACGTACGTACTGACTTTTTTCATATGAGAACTGGCGTTTCAAGAACAATAGCTATGCATCTAATTGATCTAATTGCTAATGATCTTATCCATTTATCATTGAACTTTTCGGCTGCATTCCCAAAAAATTGCAATAAAATTTAGTGTTATTATGATCCAAAGAAAATTCTCTAATTTTCAAAAAAATTTTCACTATAACAATCAAACAGATACATATATAAAATCATTTTTGTGTTTTGGCTATTGTGAATCTGTAACAAATTTTGATTATATATTGTTCACGTATGAGGTAAACAATATTAATAAAAAATTAGACAATATATAAAAATAAAATGTTGTCACGGGTGCGGATGAAATTTTCCACCGTAAAATTTGGTTACTCTAACTGTATCAATTAATGTTACCATTTATTTTCTTTAGTATTGGTTGCTATTGTAAATTATAACTCTGCATAAATTCAATGGTGTGTTCATTTTATGTAAAGGAATTTCATAACTTGTTTATATATCTATAAGATGAAAATCAGTTAGCCTAATAACATTAGATGCCTCTAAAGTGACACTACGTACCGCTATCTCTATGCCAAAATCCGAAATCATCCGAGTGGTTAAATTTACAAGTTAGACTGACAATCTTTAATCCTATTATATGTACTGGTACATATTATATGTACGCTGAAAAGCACAAATCCCTGGCGCTAGGTATTCACATTCTTCTGAAAAACACAAATCCCTGGCGTTAGGTATTAATAATTAGCATATATTTTATTTGATCGGACTAATACGTATAAATGTACATAGCCGCTACGTGTGTATTAGCTGTATTAGCTTTATTAGCTTTATTAGCTTTATTGACTCATTAGCTTCAATAGAAGCCTGCACGGACCGGGCCGAAATTTGAAAATTTTAAAAACCTCTCAAAATCGCGGGCCTGGTGTGCCAAGAACATAGTAAATTGCGGCCTAAACTTTTAAAAACCATAATAAATTTTATTTTGTGGGCTGGAAAAAGTACAAATTTTTAGGTCCGTGCAGGGTCTCTAAGCTTCAATATAATTTATAAACCTTATGCTACATATATAATTATATTATGTATAACCAATGAAAGATATTAATTACTAAAAAAGTTTTTATTGAGTAATGTCTTTTCGCTCAATTTGCAGACTTATCATTAAAAGTAAATTGATTTGTTGAATAGTAATTGCTGAATGTGGTGGATAAAATAATTTTTCTTTGGGATCATTTGTTATCCAATTCATCAAGCTTTTCTTCATTTCTAAAAATATCTCATTCACTCTTCGATTTTCTTCTTGTGTTTCATTTTGCTTTTTGTTGTCGATTTCGTAAATTTTTGAAATGTTTTTAGATGAAGTAAGAAATAAAAATATTATTATTATTAAAGAAATTGTTAAAAATGCGTTTGGTCGAGCCATTAACTTTGTTTTGATGAAATATCACTTTTCCTATTTTATACACAGAAGCTTGTCTTTTATTACTGTATACGTGATCTCATGTTTACTTAAATCTATGCTCGTCATGTACGTATATGATAATTTTGATTTATTGCAAATACAACCGTGATATATTGTGACTACCTTGCTTCATGAGATTCGAAATGTAGTTCTGATAATGTTTAAATTTACTTAATGAAAATGTCAATTTTAAATACTTCAACTCTTGAAATAGCTCTTGATTACATTAACTTTTGATATACTGTAGCTTTTGATTACATTAACTTTTGATATACTGTAGCTTTTGATTACATTAACTTTTGATATACTGTAGCTCTTGATTACATTAACTTTTGAAATAGCTCTTGATTATATTTACTTTTGATATACTGTAGTTTTTGATTACATTAACTTTTGAAATAGCTTTTGATTACATTAAAGTTTGATATAACTCTTGATTTCATCAACTCTTAATATATCTTTTAATTATATCAATTCTTAATATAGTTTTTGATTACATCAATTGTTAATATAGTTCTTAATTCAAGTTTTGTTCTAGTAAGAATTTTATTATACACAATATTATATTTCTTATTATATATACAACAAAATTTTATCTAAATATTTTTTTAATATTAATAATAAGATTATGCTTCTATCTTTATTGAATATTTAATTGAGATTTTACATAGAGTACAATTCTGTTTTTAAAATATTATAAAAAGAATAAAAGCCCAGATTAATTTAAACTAATTTTCTAAATATTTTATTATTATTAAACACAAATTCAAATTAATTTTAATTACTCTAATTAGTATTATGTTTAATTACAATATATTGTTATAGAATAAAAGCCTTTTTAATTTTATACTATAACAATAACACAGTATAAAAATCCTTTATAAATATATGCAGTGTTCAAAAAAAAAGTATAATTTCTGTTAGATATTGTTAAAAAACTATACTCATCTCTAAGTCAATTTGATAATTATTACATAGTAGTTTATAATTAAATTATTTATTAAGATAATAACAAAAAAATTATCTTTAAATATCTATTCTAAAAGATTCAAGATATAATTTATAAGATAAAAAAGAAAAAAAATTAGTTGTTTTTATTTATTAATTTTAAACTGTTAACTACTTTAATTTAAAGAAATTTTAAGGTTTATATATTTGTAAGCTAAGTGACTAAGTAACTAAGCAACTAAGCAACTAAGCAACTAAGCAACTTAGTAACTAAATGACTAAACAACTAAATAACTAAACAACTAAGCAACTAAGTAACTAAATAACTAAGTAACTAAGTAATTAAGTAATTAGTATCACAAGCTTAAATCATTAAAATTTTAAAATTATTAAAATAACTATAATTAATAAATAATACAATAATAAAAATAATAATATACTAAAATAATAAAAAACAACTCTTTCTGATGATTCTCTGCACCAATTTTTTCACACATACTAACCTATGAAAATTATATAGTTAATATGTTTATACATAACAAAACTTCACCGTATAGTGTCTGAGTTCAAGAGCTTCAAATTGCATGTAGGTCATATGAAAAAGAGTTGAAAAAGACAGCTCCTTGTGGGTTTGGCTCTTCAGTAGAAGTCTATAGAGTTATTGAAAAAATAACTTTGGCTATAAACAAGGAAGTTTTGTCAAGCTATATCTGAGCAGTAGCAAAGATAGTAGCTTAGTTGAATATATTATTCTATATAACATAAACTCCTATACTCATTACAGTTAGTACTATAAAAATTCTTTTTCTACTTTTTTCCAAGAAATTTTTATTGAAAAATAAGCAATTTAGTTTACTCCTATTGAAATTGGCATTGTTGATCCTTTAAAATCAGAATTGTTTATCAGTTCTATTCAAAAAGGGCTCATGTTGCAGATAAAACATGAGTACATATGTCTTGAAAAAACATAACAATGAGATGAGATTGGAGATTTTTGGCAAAGATGAGATAATTGGTCAAAAATGTGATAAGTATTGAAATATAAGATCTGGTAAAAAATATGATGAGTCATATATGAAGATGGATTCAGTGACAAGGAGTCGGAACATCCAGCATATGGAAAATTCTCTGCCAGTTTAGTTTTGTTTGAATTGTTTCTCTTAGGATATAAGCTTTAGTATTAAATATGTTAATTA